GGAGGGCAAAAAGGGCCTCCCCCAGGCTCTGGAGGCCCTCCAGGAACCAGAAAGAGGCCTATTTCCAGACTTCCAGAAGGCCCATTTTTCCCCCTCCCAGAGCCTCCTTGTGGACCCTGTGTTAGGAATGTAAGACACCTAACAGTTGGGTTGGAAATATATAAACCAGGATAGACATTTTAATACTGTCTCTTTAAGGGAATGCTAAAATTGTAATTGGGTGTGGTTCCTCAAATGGCCATAAGATGGAGCCAGAAACCTGGTTTCCGAGAGTGTTGCTGTTTTTGGTTTCTGCATTTCCCTATTGACTGTTGCTGATCGTCATTCTTCTTGGATTTGATGTGAGTCTATTTACTGAGCTGTTTATGATACTGGACTTTGATTTTGGATTATCCCTGGACTGAATACTGACTGCTTTAACCGTGTATGACTTGGACTGCTTGTTGGACTTTGCTTAACCGTTTACTGGAAGTAAAAATCTACATTTTACTATACAGTGTATCTGTGTTCTGGTTGTATGTTATTCCTCACCACTCTCACTACATCTCCCTGTGTGCGCTTATTCTCCTAATGGGGAATTACCTCAACACCCTGCATCAAAAATGGGCCACGTGGAGACTCCTGGGAGTGGTGGGGGTGGGGGGTGGGGCCATCTGGTCTTCAAATACCATTTTGGTGAACCAGATGCAAATTTAACATCCAGTTTGTCTGAACCGGTCCGAATCGGTAGAAGCCCACCCCTGGTCTATATATAATGGTTTGAAACCATTTATAGATATAATATTAATTGATCTGAATTATAATTGTCAAATTCTGTTTTCTTTATACAATTCCTTTGATGCCCAGAAAAATATATTGGACTGAAAACTCTCATATATCTCAAATAATCAAAATGAATTGAAATAGGTTGCAATCAGAAATATGTGTACTACAGGTAAATTGAATATCTGGCATAAGATTAGCACTTTATGTCAAACCTTTTGAAACATTTGCACGTGCTTGAATTCAAGGCCACCTTGCTTGCTTAAACTTCAAATCTCAACTTCAAATCTCAACAAATAAATGCTCTGTCTTACATATTGGCAAAAAAAATCAGAAAATAAAACACAAGCTGAATAGTCAAGATCTTGTTGATGACCCAAGCTCTGTAAAGGACCTTGGAATACTCACCTCTAATGATCTAAGTGCTAGAGCCCACTGCAACTACATAGCCAAAAAGGCATTAAGAGTTGTTAACCTAATCCTACGTAGCTTTTTCTCTGGTAATATTACACTACTAACTAGAGCATGCAAAACATTTGCTGGATCAATAATCAAATACAGCTCATCAGTCTGGAACCCACATTACGTATCTGATATTACCACAGTTGAGAAAGTCCAGAAATATTTCACAAGAAGAGTTCTCCACTCCTCTACTCATTGTAAAATACCTTTTGCCATCAGACTTGAAATTCTAGACCTAGAAAACCTTGAATTACGCCGTCTTCGGTCTGATCTAAGTATGGTATATAAAACCAAAGAGGAGGTGGAGTTGCACTGTATGTAAAGGACCACTATATTGCTACAGAAATGCATGAAACCAAAGATGTAAACCTCCTAGAATGCATATGGGTCAATATAAAAGAAAAAAAAAAGAATGACATGGCCATAGGTGTATATTATAGGCCACCCAATCAAGCAGAAAAAATAGATGTCCTTTTTGCCAGCCAACTAACAAACATATGCAGGAAACACACAACAATAGTAATGGGAGACTTCAATTATCCTGATATCAATTGGAAAACTAATTCTGCACTAAGTGAGAAATCAAATATGTTCCTAACCAACCTAACTGACAACTTTGTTGTCCAAAAGGTAGAGGGTGAAACTAGAGGGACAGCCATACTGGACTTAATTCTTACAAACAGAGAAGAAGTGATAGAGGGAGTTGAAACTGCAGGAACCTTGGGTGAGAATGACCATGTCATACTAGAATTCAACATAACACAAACACAAGCAACAGAACATAATGACACCAGACTCTTGGATTTTAAAAGAGCTGATTTCAATAAACTCAGAGAGAACTTGAGAAAGATTCCATGGATGAAAATCCTAAAGGGGAAAACAACTCAAGAATCTTGGGAAATTCTGAAAAGTAGGATCATAGAAGCCCAGACCAGCACAATACCACTGAGAAAGAAAAACAAGAAATCCAAGAAGAAACCAGCATGGCTACACAAAGATCTCTTTGGCAAACTGGAAGAAAAAAAGGACAAGTACAAAAAATGGAAAGAAGGACATAAAACTAAGGCAGAATATCAGCAGATAGCCAGAATCTGCAAAGACGAAGTCAGGATAGCAAAGGCTCAGAATGAACAAAGACTTGCAACAAAAGTCAAAGATAATAAAAAAAGTTTCTTCCAACATATAAATAACAAGAAAAAAATCAAGGAAACAGTTGGTTGACTAAAGAGAGAAGATGGCAAGGAAGTAACAGGCAACAGAGAGAAAGCAGAACTGCTTAACTCATTCTTTGCATCTGTCTTCACACAAAAAGAAACTATAGCTCAACCCACCAAAAACATAACTGTAAAAGACAGAACAGAAATAAAAGTCAAAATAAGCAAAAAAAAAAAATAGTAAGAGAACACCTGTCTGATCTTGATGAAAACAAATCACCGGGACCTGATGGATTACATCCCAGAGTTTTAAAGGAGCTGGCAGAGGTAATCTCAGAACCACTGCACCATATCTTTCAAAAACCCTGGAGCACTGGGGAACTACCAGAGGACTGGAAAAGAGCTGATGTGGTTCCCATCTTCAAAAAAGGAAAAAAACAGACCCAGGAAACTATAGACCAGACTTGTCCAACCCGCGGCCCACGGGCCGCATGCGGCCCAGGTCACCTCGTAATGCGGCCCAGTGCCCACCCCAACCTTCGTGCAAGAGCCAGCGAGGAGGAGGAGGAGGAGAAGCAGGCGCGAGGCGGGGCAAGGCGAGCGCCACGCCAAGCAGCAACAGAAAAGGCGGGCGCCGTCAGAGCGCCACCTCCTGCTGATGCCGCTGCCGCCACCGCTGCTGCTTCTGCCCCCGCCGCCGCTGCTGCTGCTTCTGCCTTCCAGTCCTGCCGCATCCAGCTGGGCCATTTGCAGGAGGAGAGGTAGGCACGAGGTGGCGAGCTTTCTTCCCCCCCTCCCCCCCGCAAAATTTGGCCGGAAAATAAACCGTGATAAACCGTGATAAAAAAACCGTGATAAAAAATATTTTTTAATAAATAATTAATAATTAATAATAAAAATAATTTGGCCGTATTTTGGCTTGAGTTTGGCCGTTAACTATGTTTTCTATGGTGTCTTTTTTTGGATGATCAGGTATCGTTACTGTTATTTTATTTTATGTGGGGCCCAAACCAAATTTTCATCTTCTAATGTGGCCCAGGGAAGGTGAAAGGTTGGACACCCCTGCTATAGACCAATCAGCCTAACATCAATACCCGGGAAGATACTGGAAAAGATAATAAAGAAACAGATCTGCCAACATCTAAAAACAAGTAAAGTAATAACTAGCAGTCAGCACAGGTTTGTTAAAAACAGATCATGCCAAACCAATCTTATTTCATTCTTCAACACAGTGACTAAACTAGTAGACCAGCGAAATACTGTGGACATAATATATTTAGATTTCAGCAAGGCATTCGATAAAGTAGACCACAACCTACTTCTTAGTAAGCTAGAAAAAAGTGGAATAGATAGCACCACCACTAGATGGACTCGCAACTGGCTGACAAACCATACTCAACGAGTAGTCCTTAATGGGTCTAAGTCTACATGGAGGGAAGTAAGCAGTGGGGTGCCACAAGGTTCCGTCTTAAGCCCAGTACTCTACAATATCTTTATCAACGACTTAGATGAGAGAATAGAAGGGGAACTTACCAAATTTGCAGATGATACTAAGCTGGCAGAAAAAACTAACACCCAAGAAGATAGGCTCAAGATACAGATAGATCTTGATAGACTAGAACACTGGGCCATATCTAACAAAATGAAATTCAATGTAGAGAAAAGTAAAGTCCTACACATAGGCAAAAAAACCCAAAAGTACACATCTAGACTGGGTGAAACCAGGCTTAATAGCAGTAACTGTGAGAGAGATCTTGGAGCCTTAGTGGACAACCAGCTAAATATGAGCCAGCAGTGTGCAGCAGCCACCAAAAAAGCTAATGCAATCCCAAGTTGTATTAACAAAGGGATACAGTCAAGATCAAAGGAAGTACTAATACCACTCTATAAAGCCTTAGTAAGACCCCACCTAGAGTACTGCATGCACATTATAAAAAAGATGTTGAGACTCTAGAAAAAGTACAGAGAAGAGCAACCAGGATGATTAGGGGACTGGAGGCTAAAACATACAACGAACGGTTGCAGGAACTGGGCTTGGCTAGTCTAGTAAAGAGAAGGACCAGGGGAGACATGATAGCGGTCTTCCAATATTTGAGGGGCTGCCACAGGGAGGAAGGGGTCAAGCTATTTTCTAAAGCACCTGTAGGCCAGACAAGGAATAATGGATGGAAACTGAACAAGGACAGATTTAACCTGGAAATAAGGAGAAACTTTCTGACAGTGAGAACAATCAACCAATGGAACAGCTTGCCCTCAGAAGTTGTGGGAGTGCCATTACTTGAGACTTTCAAGAAGAGATTGGAGTGCCATTTGTCAGAAATGGTGTAGGTTCTTCCTCTTGGGTGGGGGGTTGGACTAGATGACCTACAAGGTCCCTTCCAACTCTGATTATCTGTATCTGTATCTCACCATACATTGCAATTACTTACCTGTCAATGAATACTTCAGCTTCAACCATAACAACACAAGAGCACATAATAGATACAAACTCAAGGTTAACCGCACCAAACTTGATTGCAGGAAATACGACTTCAGCAACAGAGTGGTCAATGTCTGGAACACTCTACCCGACTATGTGGTTTTTTTCCCCAAACCCCAAGAACTTTAACCTTAGACTGTCTACTATTGACCTCACCCCTTTCCTAAGAGGTCTGTAGGGGGCGTGCATAAGCGCACCAACGTGCCTACCGTCCCTGTCCTATTGTTTCTTTTATTTTTCTTATATGTACCCATTTCATGTATTCATAACTATGTATATACTTATACCTATTAGCTTATAAGTGATTGACAAATCAAAATAAATAAATAAAAAAAACTAGTGTCACAGATCACAAATATTTGCATCGTGAAACTTGATGGGGTCACTTTGTTTAGATACACAGAGGAAAGGCTTTCCAAGAGTTGGTGGATTTTAACTTGGCCTCTCTATAAGCATCTCCCACTCTGCTCCTTAGAAAGATGACACCAATCTCAGTTTAATCAACATGTTAATTTTAAGTAATATGCAGTACCTTATTTGAAATCTTTTATTCCTCCTTCATCTCCCTTTTCATTTCTTGTTATTCAGTTCTATCTGCTGTTGATTTTTTTTTTTTGCTTTGATTTTCTAGTCCTATTCTTTTATTTATACAATATAAATGTTTATATGTTCAAACATTGACTGCATAAATAAAAAACTACACAAATGTATTGTTACTGAAACAAATATGTTTAAAGGAATAACTTTAATAATTTTTAAATATTAAACAGTAAAAATTGACATGGATTCAGTCAGAAATCAATGAATGTACTGATAAAAGGCATCTAAAATATGAACCAACATTTCCAACATTTTATATGCCATGTCATTCTGTACTTGCAAATATTTGAATCCTTTGGATGATGATCATGAAGCTGTCCTCATTTACCATCTATTAGCTGACCTCACAGTTAATCTATGTTTTATCAAAACTGAAAAGAGGATACATAATAAATATTTTTTCTTTTCTTTGATCTCCTGCCTATAGTCTTTTTTTCCTTTGGTTTTTGTGTGTAATATTTCTTACTGAAAAGAGGCTGAAGTATATTCAAAAGTAGAGAAAACTACCTGACATTTTAATATGTAAAGATTAAAAATGAATACAAAATAATATAGAGTAAAGAAGAAAATAATAATTAAGGAGCTAAAACTGAAAGAAAGAAAACATAAAAGAATAACAGATAAGAAAGAAAAAAACATACAAAGAAGTGGCTTCCAATCTTCTCAACAGCAGTTATAAGTACAGTTATAAATTCACTTTTTCCCTAAAATTACATCTTGACTCTCTTCTGTTTATAATTTTATTTAAACAACAAAACCACAAATCGTACGATTTTTTTAAAATGCAAAAATCCATAAAGGACTTCCAGTCAACAATAAAAGTATATATTGTTCTTTCTCTAATCAAGCAAGTCAATTTGGCCACTTCAACAAGTTCTAACATCTTCATCAACCATTCATTCATTGTAGGTATTGCTAAATGTTTATGTCTACACTAATTATGCTGTGATTATCATATACAAAAACGAAGTTCAAATTGTTTGTCCATCAGTTCCAAGAGGAAGAGGTCTGGTTTCCTTTGTATACTTTGTATTTCCTTTGTATATATTTCCTTACGTAGAAATGGGAGCATTTTCCAATTTCCTACCAGCTTCCCCATTAAGAGGGTTTTTTTTTTTTTTTTTTTTTCAAAAGGGTGGGAGGGAACATCAGAAATCTTCCTTCCTTCCTTCCTTTTCAGATTTTAGATGTATGTTAGCCCATTTGAAGTACCTTGTTTCAAAAATTGTTGCCCTATGATGCACTGCTTTCTCCAGATAAAGATGATAGAAATAAGAGTCTTTGTGATATATCGATTAGTCTTTTAAATCCTCTGAATCCTTTTATGTATTTGAATCCAGCATTTTGCATGCATACCAGAGATGATAAAAAATATCCTTGTTAAATTTTAGAAAGCTGATTGTGAGAATCCACTCTGAAATACACGATTCAAAACAACTTTTTTAAAAACAATTCTTGATTCTTTCCCTAGGAAATAGTTTCTCTTGTTCTGGCAAAATTTCTTCAGTGAAAATTAACCGTCACAAAATTTTGATAAAGACCAAAAATAAAACATGCAGATTATAATTTCCTAGTTTATCAGTACTTCAACATGTAGAGGCATCAGCAGATATAGAAATCAGCATATTTGTAGATTTGAAGCAATGACAATTTCTCCCTGGTTATATCTTTGTTGAATCAAACGCAGATATTAAGTGTCTGGTATAGGTCTAGGACCAAAAAACTAATGTGGAAAGGGAACCTCATGAGGACAGTGGTGACACCCAAGCAGGAAAAGCCCAAAGGGAACATCAGGCCAGCCATAAAACAAACTTGCATAGGAAAAGAGATTTAATAAAAGGTATTGAAAGAAGCCCCCTAGACAAAAGCCAAGTAATTAAGAAAGTTAGGGAAACAAGAAAAAGAAATCCCTTACAAACAACAGGTCATGCCAAATCAACAAAACAAATAGACAAAAGACACAAAATAAATTCCATAGCAGACAGGAGATTGCCACAAAACAAATATAAGAAAACATTAGGACGAAACTGATAATCCAATCAAACCACCCCGCGGAGTTTACCCTCGGGCGGAAATTAAGACAACCCCTGACAGGATTTAAAACATTAAGAAATACAAACACATGCACTCACACACAAAAGGAGAAAAAAGTATAAAAATCAGGGGTTTATTATACAAAGGCAGCTAGCCCCAGGAACGCAGACTTCTTGCTATCTCTCGCCTTCCTGAAAAATAAAAAGAACCAGCTTCCAAGCAGTTGCCTGTATCCTTGCACTGGAGTTCTCCCAGCAGGAAAATCGAACCCTCAGAAGAAAGGCATTTTGCCAGCCTTTCAACACTAACTATCACAGAGTCCTTTTACTCTGTAATATTGACTCTAGTTTACCAGCCATTATCTGATTAATTCAGGTAATGGCTCATATTAATTCAGTATTTATTGAAACCTCATATTAACTCAGTATTTATTTAAAAAGATAAAGTCTATTCTGAGCCTTGTTCTATATCATTGTTGTGTAATGACACATTGATGTACATATAATAAACTGACACACATAATTAAATAAAAAAGACCAACATGGTGATCAAATCTTTTTACTCCATAGCAATCTCATCAGAGCAAAATCATCTTCCTCCCCTTCTTTCAACAAAGGACAGGCACTTGGAAATATGTGTTGAATTATATATAAATAGAAGAGGGGATCTGTCATTGGGAAAATCTTTTGGGTCTTCTGAATGCTTCTCTATACACATAGACAAAAATGCTTCGAGCAGACAATCTGGAAAAAATATGATTTACCATCCATTTACTCAAATGGATGCATCTGAAGCTAGTAAATAACTACATTTTTCTGTTAAAGATCCTGTCCTGGTTTGTAAAGCTGTCACCAGTTATAGTTGGTTGATAGCACTCGGGAAATGACCACTCACAACACAACAAGAATGCAAATGAAATTGCTTTGACTGTGGGGAGCCTGGGGAGCTTGCTAAACATTTTACACAGCAGCCACATCCTGTCACTTTTCTCAACAGCCAGAAAAACTTGCTGTGTTATATAGATCGCATGCTGTCCGTTTTTTCAGAGCCCTAATACTGAGTATTCATAGGCAAAACTTTTCTTAAGGTCAGGCAGCTGCTTCCCAATCCCTCTTCATTATGCAGATTCTTTCACATTGTTTTTGTTGCCTCAGAGGAAAAAAACAGAGTGCACATTATTATAAGCATCACCATTAGCATGATCATAATTATTAGGTTAAATAAAATCATGAGTTTTACAAGCTTTCAAGAATGTTCAGAAGTATGAACATGTACAATAAATTAAGAGCAGATTTCTAAACCATATAGAGTAAATACTCTTCTCTCCTAATGACATACTATGTATATGAAGGAAATGAGAATAGAAATAGCATGGTTACTACTCTCTCTCTCTGTGTCTCTGTTAACCAGATACTGTATTCCATCTAATCTCCAGAAGAATAATGAAAACTATTTGCAAATCATTCAATCAATCAGAATTAGAGTAGAGCTGGAAGGGACCTTGGGATCTTCTAGTCCAGCTCCCTGCTTAAGCAAGAGACCCTATATCCATGTTGGCGAACCTATGGCATGCGTGCCGAAAGTGGCACGCAGAGTCACTTCTGCCAGCATGCAAGAGGTCTCCAGGAAGAGCTCCACTCTTGTGCGTGCGCACTGCTGCCCAACAGCTGATTGTCAGGTATCTGATGTGCATGCATGGGGGTGTGTGGAAGACACATGTGCATGCGCAGAGATACACAGCATGCATGGAGGGTTGTGCGCACATGCACAGCCGCACAGCAAACACAGGGGGATTGCGCACACATGTGCAGGGAGTGGGAGGGAAGCACACATTGCCTTCTGGGAGCTGGTGCGCGAGTGCATGTGCATGCGTGCAATGTTCGGCACAGGAGCCGAAAAAGGTTAGCTACCACTGCCCTATACCATTTCAGACAAGTGACTGTCTGACAGTCTCTTCTTAAAAACCTTCAGTGATGGAGCACCCACGATTTCTGGAGGCCAGCTGTTCCACTGGTTAATTATTCTCACTGTCAGAAAATTTCTCTTTAATTCCAGGTTGCTTCTCTCCTTGATTAGTTTCCATCCATTGTTTCTTGCCCTGCCCTCTGGTGCTTTGGAAAATAAATTGACCCCCTCCTCTTTGTGGCAACCTCTCAAATACTGGAATACTGCTATCATGTCCCCGCTAGTCCTTCTTTTCTCTAGATAGCCAAACCCAAACCATGCAACCTTTCTTCATATGTTTTAGTCTCCAGACCTTTAATCATCTTAGTTGTTCTTCTTTGCACTTTTTCCAAAGTCTCAACATCTTTTTTGTAATGTGGTGACCAAAACTGGATGCAATATTCCTGTTGTGGCCTTTATAAGGCTTTATAAAGTGCTACTAATATGTCACATGAAGTATTACCAAAGTATCAATATCACCAAAGTATCTGGTATCTCCTTCTAGTTCTTTCATGTGGATATTGAATACAAAACAAAATAGCTTTTAGTGTGAAATTACAGATAAATGATGATGGCATTTATCACCATCTTCTGTACACATTTTC